TCGCGAAAAAACTCAACTGTCAGTCTCTTAGCGACCTATGGTGTGAGTATGTACTGAAACTGTCAGTAATTATTTATTAAGAAAACTACGTCACTTATGGAGATTTAAAGCTTAATAGTGAAGTTCTTTCCTACAATGAAAAGAATAGGCCTTACAATGTCATTTACTTTACATTACTTTCCGGAAGGTGTTATTAGCATTACCTTATAAAGCTCCACTATCAGTTATTAAACAATCTTAGGCCAATTATCGCAGATACCAAAACCATTATGGTTTGTCCTCTATTTTTGTCGCAGTCTCATTTCGCTTCATAGAAGTGGTTTGACATAGTTTCCGCAATTTTTCGTGTTTCCAGGGCTACTCAGATGGACGAGATCACCTACCATTATATGCATAACAATTTCCAATGTCCGACCGCAGATGTGGTACATCCCCAGACGATTCGTTGACATCGTAGTTGGCATCTTCAGTAAAGGATATACAAGTATTGCCTCTGACGAGTTGTAGCTTGGTGTATAAGAATGGCAAAACCCACTGACGCTGCCGACTACGATACCGACTAAATATCTGTGAATGTACCAAATATATGGTTCTATGCTAAAAATGATCACGACTACTCTATAGCAAAGAACTTCGGTCAAGGTGGGTTGATCTAGGTCATCCTGGCAATACGAGCAAGTTGTAAAAACCGGGTCACTTCTGGAGTGACCAAGTTCTTATCCACTAATTGCTCATATACACGATAAATGCTTACGTTGAAATTACTCAAACCACATTTTATATTATATATCTTTTTTTCTCTCTCACACACACACACACACACGTTCTACTCCTGCCTTGCCTTCGACCCACTTGCTCATTCAGGCAACATGGCGTTCTGGCCAACTCTTGTCCGCGAGCTGAGCCTTTGTTTCGCCTTGTCCAGCTTGGGTTGCGACCCATCCTCCAGGCCAAGCCTACTTTTCCTCGTCGAACAGATGCTCAATCCGTTGTCAAGGCGTTTCCATTGCACTTGGCCAATTGCCACGACGCATGGCTTCATTTGGCATGTACATGCCCGTCAGGCAGTTACCCGGTCGTCCTTGGCGAAAGCAGAAGCCCTGACTACACACCAGTTGACTTCGACAGCGTGAATGTGGCGCAGGGAAGCGGAGGCTGGACGGATCCGTCTGCCAATGTGGCAGAAGGAGGAAGTAGACATGACCTTGGAGACGGTCCAGCGCCGGGCGATGGGCCACTCGGTCAAGAGATGGTCGTCTGCCTACCAGGTTTTCGGGCCTATAGATTGGGAGCCAATGCATTGCTTGAGATAGTGGGACGGATGGACGAGAAGTCAACACCCTTTGGGGTCGGGGCTCGAGTGCAGCATCCTCTGAACTCGGTTGCCCGCCCGAGAGCGGCTTTAGAGGCCGGTCAACTTCCTCCATGGGCTAGGAGCGGCGGTTCTACTCTCCAGACTATCTGGAGCCAGTCCGATACAGACTTGTCGCAAGTTATGGGTAGCAGAGAGAGGAGCACTGCCATCGGCGAAGGGATGAAGACCAACGCTACTTATAAAAATAATCTAAAAAGCCGAGTCATGAGTGGGGAATCACGAAGGAATTTGGGCAAATCGACTTCAAATTTGGCTTTAATATCACATTTTCGAGGTATAGCCGAGGCTACAAATAATCGGCATGGAAATGATGTAAAGAGAACACTTAAAACAATCAGCGAAGAACCCATTCAGAATAAAGAGTATTTTAGCATGAAAGAAAAGCAAGAATTCTTCCAAATTCGTATCAAAACGCGTAGATCCCATGGCATCTTGGCAGCGATCTATAAAGATGAAATGAACTACATACTTCTAACGGTAATCATACTTTAAATCATCCACACTCAAATATACGCACACACATGCACATATATATATATACTTTAGTTTATAACTTCAGGTAGCTAGATTGATCAGTAATAAATGAGTGATTTCGTTCTACATTTAATATTTTGCAACCTGATTATTTCGTCGAATTCCTTTAAGACTAGACGTAAATTTTACAGAAGTGGGTTGACATTGTTGTCGCAACTTGGCTCTGTTGTCAGGGAGACTATGTAGAACGTACCTAGTCCGAAGTCGTCTGCCATTA